ATCCTTTCTTTATAATTAATCCCCGCCATGAAATTTCTTAAAAAGGAGTTTCTTTGCTATCTCTTCCTCACCTCTTCAGATCTTGACCACAAACATCTGCTTTGCAGTTTCATTCTTCTACTAAAGCCATTTTCTTTATGGTCACCAGTATCCTCTGAATTGCCAAAATCCAACAGAAAACTTTTCAGCTTTATCTCCCATCACCATTCTGCTGCATCTGAAATGCTTATCTTAACTTCTAAATATCAGTCTCACTAATCTCCAGACCCTCTGGTTTCTGCATCTGGCTCTCTTTCGGCCAAGCAAGAAACTTGAAAGACCTTTTTGCCCAATGGGTAGGCTCACCTGCATTCAGTAAACAAAATTCCATGAATCACCTCTTTTCTCCATGTTCTTAGTTTACATACTTCCCCGCCCCCCGCCCCAGAGACTAATGCTTTTTAGCTATAGACAAATGATTCAATGTCTTTATGCCTTACTTTCCTTTCCCATTAAATCAGGATATTGATAATATCTACCACAAAAGGATTGAGGATTAGTGTAAAAAGTAAATAAGTTAGAATGTATTAAGTACTTTGAACCTTGCCTAGCTTAGTGTAAGGGCACAATAAATCTTCACCATTATTATTGCACACCCTTGTAATTATACTAATCACATTATATTGTGTTTGTGAGAGATGTTCTTTCTCCCTAGACCATAGGAGATCATGCTTCATGCATCTTTGTGTTTTGAGGCTGGAGCACAACGTCTGGCTTATAGTGGGCATGTAATAGATAGTTACTGAGTGAATTAATCTTTGCATTCTTTACAACACCCAGCATATATTAGGTGCTCACGAAATATTCACTGACTTGAATTTGATAGAATCAGATTGATCTGGAGAGAATGCAGAATAAGTGCCATTAGACTAGGTAAGGCATGGTGAGTTTAAATTTTAAGGTGAGAGCAGTTTCCTTTGAGATTCTTCCTATAGTTGAATCTAAACTAATGCATAATTCACATTCTTAGCAAATCTAGAATTATTTTTTTCTCTATTCGCTCCCCAGTTTCAGTTTCCACGTTCTGTCAACTCTCTTTGTTTCTATTCTCGAAATGTAACTTAAATCACCAAAAACCCAGACACCTGTTATCATTTTTGTCAGTAAGCTATTGCTGCATAACAAACGCATAATCTCTGTGGCATACAACAAAAAGCATTTCTCATATGTCTGTGGGTCAGATATTTTAGGACAGGCTTAACTGAACAGCTCTGCTTTAAGCTTAGATCTGACTGGCCTTGTCTCCTCATTGAGGGCTGGTTTTAGTTCTGTGCCATATGTATTCTGAAGCCCAGACTGAAGAAGAAGCAGCTACCCGGGGAAGCTCTTGTCTTGGCCACAGCAGAGAAGGAAGCAGGCTAGTAGAAATCTGCAAAGTGTCTTAAAACCTGTCTGGAACGGACACATTGTCATTTCTACTCATACTACATTGTCTAAAGCAAGTCATACGGCCAAGCCTAACATCAATGAAGTGGGGGAAATAAATGTTGCTCACTCTAGTGAGTTTTACCATGCAGTCACTTGCAAAGGAGGTAAATGTGTAAATCTAATTAAGAGAAGATGAGAAGAATTGTGAACAATGATTAAATATACCATACTTCTATCCTGATTCTGGTCTTCAGAATGTCTTTCCCAGGCAATCACATTAGTCTCCTTGTGTCCAATCTTGCACATGATTTTTGTCCCATTTGGTTATGAACCTTTTGGATGCAGGTGCTAGAATACATAGTTAAACATGGCTTATATTATCTTATATGACAAGAAGTCTAGAGAAAGTGTTTTAGAATTAGATTGAAAGTTAAACAATTTCATTGAAGTCTCATTTTGTAGGTTTTTTAAAATTGTGTTATCTTTTGTTTGTGTACTTATTGCCTAATGGTGACAAGATTGCTCCACTAGCTCCAAAAATCACATGATTGCACAATGATGTTCAAAGTAGGAAGAAAAAGAAAAGTGCTTCTTCATATACCCCTTTCCCTTTATCATGGAAAAAAATCTCTTCTCTGATAGCTTCCAAAGTCCCTTCCCCTGACCAGAATTATCTGATCACTCAAAGCTGTAAAAGAAGAAGTCAATAGAAAACATTTCAGGTTCTGTCTTATGAATGGACTCTAAAAACAAGAAGTTGGGAGGAAAATAGTATATACATAAGAAATCAGTGGTATCTGCACACTTTCAAATAATTTAACTTACCTGACTTAATATTTAAGACTCTTCATCACACAATCTTTATCCCCTTTTAAAGCTTAATACATTAAGATTTCTCTAAATAAGAAAGAGTGAATATTTCTCTCAGCTCACGACATTCTTCTTATCATCTTCACATTACTGATGTGTTTGTTTACCTCTCCTTTATTTTCCCCACATGCCCTTTTGTCCCTTCTCTTAACTCTCCACTTAACTCTCCACTTTAAGTCTTACTTATTCTTGAAAATTCAGTTCTTCTCCGGGAAGTCTTCCATGGGCACATAAGGCTTTCCGACGCCCCAGTTACAGGATTTTTCATGATGAAGTGTTTCTATGTGCTTATTTACATGCTGCCCTACTAGAAAATCAACTCTTAGAACATAGGGAATGGGTCTTAGTTATTATATTAGCAGTGCCTTTTAGCTCCCGACACAGAGCAGTCACTCAGGATTTTCTTTTGTGAATAACTGAATGAATGAGAGTAACTGCTCTAGAATTATTCCGTCTCATTCTTTCTGTATCTACTCATAAAATAAAAATAAAAAAAAAAAAACCTTTCTCCAGATTTTAACATTCACTTCATTCAGGAATCTGTTTTTTTAATGACTCTCATCTCAGAAACTTCTACCATTTTCCATCACACACAAACCACATCTGCACTAAATGTCAGAAAGACCTATGCTATACACACTTTTCTTAGCATTTAGTACCTTTTATGACATGTTATATTCCATTTCGTATATTATTTGACTACTTCTGTTAGCCCTTACAAGATTATAAACTTGTTGATTTCTTTTTTTACCATCTAAAATGCCTACCTCATTGCTAAAAAGATAGATGATACTCAATAAATATTTGTGAAATTGATTTGAATTATGATTTTCATTAAAGAATTTTATACTTTAGAGCAATTCTTCATGAATATAAATCTAGCCAATTTAAATTATTTGATTTAAAGTTCTGGGTTATTTTTTTAATATTTATGTCATTTTTCTTTATAGTGGTGGCTCACTGTTTTTGAACATATCTTTGATACTTGACAAGTATTCAGAGCAAATATCCATGATTATTTACCGCTTTTCTACACTATGTTGATGTTTTCGAGCTTATCTTTTTTCTGTCCCTTGGACGAAAATATACATATCCATACTAGATTACGTTATTATTATTGTTTTAACCTTAATTGTTTCTCTTCCTGCTGGATTGTCTTCGATTCAAGCCATCATGTTCTTTTTTCTAAGAAATGGATGAAAATCATGACTTCCTTGAAGTCTCACAACACTCTACTTTGATGACCCCTTTGTAAAATATATTATTTATCGTTCTGTTGTGCTGCATTTTGTATTTTTCTTTTCACTTATGCTACAAATATTTTTTAAATTCATTGAAAACCTCCACTGATGATTCAGATGATGCCTTGCAGTGAATGATTCCATAAATGTTAATTGAACTTTTAGTATATGCCGAACATTGTCTAGTTACTGGGTAGTAAAAGAAATAAGGTAACCTACATGTCTTTCAATAGATAAGTAGATAAAGAAGTTATGGTACATATATACAATGGACTATTTCTCAGCCATAAAAAATTAAATTTTACCATTTGCGACGACATGGATGGACCTAGAGGGTATTATGCTGAGTGAAATAAGTCAGACAGAGAAAGATAAATACCATATGATTTCACTTATACGTGGAATCTAAGGAACAAAAGAAACAAACTAAATGAAAACAGACTCAGAGATACAGAGAACAAACTGGTGATTGCCAGAGGAGAAGGGTTGGGGGGCTGGGTGGAAAAAGTAAAAGAATGAAGAAGTACAAATAAAACAAATAAAAATACACAATGCAAGGTAGCATAAATCATGTTCTAAAAAAGAGGGCTAAGCTAGGATTTCACAGTGTGTTTTCTCGGAAACATTGGTCTAGAGAGATGCCCTTTGAAATAAAAGGATCTTACTCAAATAAGTGCGGGAAGTATTGCATACTCCAGCCCCTTGTGGAGATTCCCAGGGCACATTGGCATATCACAAGCTCAAAAATAAATACACAAGAAAGAAACCTATTTAACTTTTTTAACCCAATGTTGCTAAACCATTTTGATCACCAGCGCTTTTTCCTTTATCACCTACTAACATCATGAGGAACTAGTATTCCAAAGATACTATGTTGCAGGAGACACAAAGTTGAGGTGGGAAGGATAGAGTTGTGGATAAATTCAATCTGAGCTGAGTCCTAAAGGAAAGGGGACACTTAGGTTAGAGAAGAGGAAGGGCGTTTAAGGCAGGAGAAATGTTAAGAAATTCACCTCGACATTAAGTCTCCTGGAACTTACCTCGTCAAATATCACTGCGCCACAGAATAAATCTTTTACATATACTGACAAAATCATAATTTTGATGATCATTAATAAATTTCTCCTAAAACACTTGACATTAATTCATTGATATTTTGCAGAAGTTTTCTTAATTCTTTATTATTATTTTTACAGACAACAAAGTTAAGCTTAAAGAGACTATAATTTACTCAGTCACTCCTGTCTAATCGATGGCAGAGTGTTAATTTTCTTTCTCTGGGGCTGGAGTCCTGGTCTATAAAGGAAGAAGTTATAATCTTTGTATGTCTGTAATAAACACTTTCGAATTAAAGCAAAAAAAAAAAAAATGATTCCTATGCAAGATGCAGATTTCATCATGCAGTGGATATGGAAACAGAATCAAATTAAAGAACAACGCAAGCTTGGATTTTAATGAAGCTCATCTTTGTTTCTTTTGCAGATCAAATTTTTGGCTCTCATCTGCACACAGTGTGTGAACGTGAAAATTCCACAGTTCCGCGGTTCGTAAAGCAATGCATTGAAGCTGTCGAAAAAAGAGGTGAGTAACTGAATATGCAGCAATTTCTCCCCATTACTGCACCCTCTACACAACCAATGCTGAAGTTAACAGCGCCACTCGATTTGTCTGGGAAGCCATGCAGTTAAAATTTGACTTTTGTTAATCAGTTAAGAGGATCAAGTTTCTTATTAACTTTAGTTTGTTTTTACAATAGGGACATCAGTAATTCCCACTAATGTTCTTTTTATTTTTTTTAATATTTTGCTTGTCTGACATGTTGTTGATTCAATTGCAAACTTCTTGTTTTCAAGCCAGTGATAAAACATTCATAAAATATCAGCACTCACAGTGTTAGAACCCTCCTAACATTCATACTGGTAGATGTGCCAGAACAATTTTTGGTAAGCCACCAATGTTACCCAAGTGAAGCAAATAGCATCTCTACTTGCAAACAGTGATATTCCATCTTCCATGTGTTTCTGTTCAGTGAGAATACAGCTAACTGGCTTTCCTGGAACAATTAACAGATACACCTCCAGTGTTAAGATGACCTCTGATCCTTACATTTCAACATTCTGTTTTTCATCTGAAATTATTTCATCTTACTGAAGAGAACAAAACGAAACCCAATTGAATCATCATTTGTATGCTAGTCTATCTGTGGGATATTTTTCCTTCACACTATGACTTCATTCATTCAAGGTCATTTTCCTGGAAGATACAGTAGATGCACAATCTCAAAAAATGTATTGTATAAAAATATGAAGCTTCATCACCATCTGTTACAAGTTTACAACATATCCCAGGATCTAGGGGGATATATATCATATAAAAGATAGAAGAGTTTTCAGAAAAAGAATTGGTGAATCTATTCCCATTTTTAGCTCTCAATCTCTTAAAACAATAGAACCCATGGGGAAAAAAATCTTTACCAAGTTATCTGCTAGGGAAAGGCTATTTTAATTCTCTCAGTGTTACCTGGCTTTATTATAGTAGCATAATAAAAATGGTCTGCAATTTCCAACTCCTGGAAATTCATACTTTAATTATATTGTAAGGACAGCATTGGGATCCTATTATTCCCATATCAGTAGGGAATGAGAATAACAAGAAGGGAATGAGTGGGTAGGG